TCATGTTGATTTCGCAGGATGGCGCATTTTCTTGGGTTACGGTGGGTGTAGATGGGTCGAAGTTCCAGATTTGCTCAAAACCTTACCTGTAACGGTTCACAAGTATGCTGCTTATGAATATGAAACTTGCTCGCTGTCATGACGCATTAGTGAAGTTATGGTGAGTTGCAGGGTTTGAATGGACAGGGCCAATTTAGATCCCAGATATTCATGAAATGGGGAAACGGTCGTTTTGCATGGCGGTCTCCAGCGCCATCCTGATAACCTGTCCCAACGTGTAACGCACGCGCAAATCTCCCTCCCCCTGTTTTTGCTTAGGCAAAAGCCGCCGAAGGGTGTATCGCACGCGACAAATCTCCCTCCCCCTATTTCTGCTTAGGCAAAAGCCGCCGAAGGGTGTATCGCCCGCAGCAAATCTCCCTCCCCCTATTTCTGCTTAGGCAAAAGCCGCCGAAGGGTGTATCGCGCGCGGCAGTGGTCCTATAAAGAAAGCATTACGGTCGTGGGAAACTTTTATACCACACGAATTGCCTTTATCGTGGGGATTGAGCAGATATTCTTGAAACAGCACTTTAGGTAATTCCCTGCCAAGGTTTCAAGCAGGTTTATGGTTTTACCCGCTGCCACGCGATGACTATGATATTTGCCATCAGCGGTTCAAATAACCCCATATACCGAGTTTGAGCAAGATCCGTCACTAAAACATTTTGGCGCCCGGATAGCCGAATAGCGCCGCGCCATCAGTTTTTAGAATTACCCATTTTGTCGATTTTATTGGTTTTTTGCAAAGTTTGAGCAACGGAGATGAAGGTTTGTGAGGAAGGTAGGTGAGCATACTAATTACTAACAGCGGGAATAGGGAATTGCATGTAGAAGTGGGCACAGGGAAAGATTGTACTGGGATAGGAATGAGAGCTTTATCATAGTGTTTTGACAGGGCCGGGCGGAGCCGCGTAAGCCAGCTAGTGTTCAATAAAGTGCGCACTGTAGCCCCTTCCATTGTTAAATGGACGAGTTTCTTGCACTACAGCTTCAGCATTTGCTTACGGCCATTTTCGCTAGTCCACTGAAAGTAACTCTCGGAGTGGACTATAAGCTTGTTTCAAGCTGGCGAAGAGCCTAAACAAAGGTGATTTTACTTCCTTGTTTCTTTGCCAATTAATCAGCCACTGATGTTTTCGCAATATATGACACGTTTTATGACTCACTTCATGAATGAAAGTCTTCGTAGATGTATTTTATTTTGAAATGTTAAGTCCACCCTAAATTATCAGGCGTAATCGTCTGAGTTCTTCAAACAATCACATGCGATCACGCGCTCCTTTTGTAGATTTAGCAGCCGCTTGTAAAATTATATGCAGCTCTTTCTAGACAAGCAAAAACTAGTTTTCTGAACCAGTCTTACTTAACTTATTAGTTTCAAAAATTAGTTTCAAAACTTATCCAACATTTTTGAACCTAATTCTGATGGCAAATGATCAATCAGTTTGGACTAGTTTAAGGATGTCCCAAAATTTAAGTACACACATTTCAATCGGTGTTAATTCTCTTTCCATAAGTTCTTTTGCCTAGTTCCAAGCAAAGTTCAATAGAGCAGACTTCAACTCAATTTCGTTGTATGGAACGGTTCAATTATTGCTCTTCATTACTGTAGGATCGGTAGAAACTGTGGAGAATGTTTTGGACCATCAGTGGTTCCATTTGGCCCCAGAATGAATATTCAGCACTCTGGAAACTTTATTATTAGGCTAAACTGAGCCGCTGACTACGACTCCTTACCCGTAAAGCTTTTTTATACTACGTTATGGCACATAAACAGCGACAACTAACAAGTTTTCTAGTATTGTGATCCCGTTGGAATGGTTACTAACTTGTTTCAAACCAACTTTGGGAGTTTTCTCATATGCTAACTCTAGATACAACCTCTACTGTTTTTGCCAGCATTCAACACTACTGTAGGTGTACCGTAAATGGAATTGTGCATGATTTTATCCGAAAAATGTTGGCTGGTCCGAGAAAGGCTATGGTCGTCAATGTATTGAGAATGTGATGAAAACCATTCAGGACGCATGGAATTCTCGCAAAATGGTAGTGAAAAACACTGTTAACCCAATTTTTCAGATTTTTTGGAAATCTCTTTTCCAAACGGCCTAATTTCATAATGACGGGAGTTTCTACCGCAGTTCTGCAGTGATATTTGTGTGGTTCCCTTTGCATCGTCAATCTAACAAGGGAAGGATACTAATTTAGATTCGCCTTTTGAGATGAGAATGTTTAAAATCAGCTTCGAATTCTGATTCCAAATATGTTGTTCTTAGCTGCTTAGCGTTATTCCGGAGCGAGTTATGGGCTTGGCGTTGTGAGTAATTAAAAAACTTCTGAATGTCGTAAAACGGCGTATAGGTAAGAATCTGTTCGAAAAAAGTGGTAGGATGTTAAACTAGCATCAGATTAATCCTTTCGATCTTGAAAGGGCGCATTATACAATTGGAAAACCACCTAAACGTGGACACCGTAGCATCCGTAGCTTGAGGAGCACGCAAGCTTTGCCTAGAAAAGAGAACATAACTCGATTTAGAATAATACTAAGCAGCTAGAAACAGCATACTTAAAATCAGCGTTCCAAGCTGATTTCAAATATATGTGTCTCATCTCAGTAGGCGAATCTAAGTTAGTACCCTTCCCTTGTAGGCTAAACCTGCACTACTGAATGGAACTTGAAGGTAAGCAAAATGCTTTGTGGGAGTGAGTTATTAAGGGATCAAAAACTGCGTCTTGTTTTTGGAACACCCTGAATAGCGGGTTGGTCAATAGGTCTCAAATAGAAACCAACGTTTTTTGAACTTCGTTCAAATCACTATTACAAAGTCTGTTATTAGCAATGTTCATGGTTTAAACTCAATCATTCAACAAAAGACAAATTTTTTTCCAATTGAAGTTTCTTCATTAACAATGATTATTCTCAATCAACAAGATTATTTTCCCTCGAATGAAAGTTCCAAAGAGCGATACCCACTCGTTGCAATGGCGTTTATTGTGGAATCAAGTAAAATTATAGCTTTTCATGGTAAACTGGTAGACACTTCCTGCGCTAATGAGATAAACTGATCTTGAAATGACTCAATATGCATTTATATTAGGCCGGTTCAAAAGTTCTTTCCGTTCTTTTGGCCTGTCATGAAATCACGTGGAATAAAGGCAGACAAATGCACTAAGTGATATCAGAGGCAGTTTTTCTTCTTCTTTCCAACAATTGTGTTGGAACAATTCGCCTTGGTGGTTTCTGAGATAATTGCCAAAACTTCAAACCCATGATTTTTACCATGCCCAACTATGGCAATTTTCAAAATCTTCATTGTGAACTTCTGGAAGAGCTTTGATAGCTGTTAGGTAGCGTAAGCAAAGTGCAATGTTGTGAAATTTTTTGGCACCTATAGCTGGCTTTCCAAAATTTTTGAAATTAAATTTCTAATACTATCAAATTCCACTTTTGGTCATCCAGGACTCACAGAATATCAAACCGGCGCGCGACTAAGGTGTCATTCGATGCAGCTTTTTCTCCTCTTTCTGCGGGGCTTTTTCTCTACTTAATTGGTGGAGTCTTCGGGAATAAAATTATCATAATTAATTATTTTGAACCCTCCCCTGGCTGCATCCGCATGTCAAATTTGATATTTCGAAGCGACAAACGTTTCATTGGTTTGCAAAGATAGTGTATAACCATAATCGAACTTTGCAAGTATCAAATTCCGACGATTCATTAGTGTTTGGAGCCTTTGTGCATTTGCGACTTCGCAAAAATGAAGACTTTTGGAAAAGTTATCCTAAAAAATACTAAGAAGCTAAATGAAGACCTGGAAAATTGCACTGCTTTGCACTTTGTTTACGCTATCTAAGTGGCAGCCACAGCTTTCAAGGGGGTGTGCCGCACCCCATTAACTATATCAAAAAACATTTCTAGCGAACAGTATTTATTAAATCGATACCTAAATCATAGATTCCATAGGAATGTTTTAAGCCTGATTGGTCTTCTTAGCTCTAAGCAATATCTGGTAAAAGCACAGCCATTAAAAGTGAAAAATGGGAAAAATGAGATTTTGGTTGGCTTCTAATCCTACAGTTTGGAGGTCTTTTGAAGCGGGATTTCTGAGATGGACAAAGGAGTAGTGTTTTGTCTTGAGTGCAAAAACGGATAGCTAATTCACCTTTGAAAGAAAGTTAACCATGTTGGAATATGACCATTTCACTTAGGTAGCCTAGTATCTTGAATCTTCAGAATTCGCTCAAACTTTGTCTACAGGGGTTAGTTGACATGCTAATTATGGATATGACACGAATATCATGTTATCACTATTATCAGATTACCCAACTACGACCCTTTTGACTCCCCAATACGACCCCCACGTGTGGCGTGCCACACCCCATGTTTGACCCTGTTGATAAGCCCTGTATACCCGCTAAAAGAGTATAGCAGCACTCCGATACACTACTTCGTATGCAGTTGAAGCTGTAGCGGCTAGACTTTGTTTAGTTTTGAAATTAAAAAATTAAGCCTTATCTGCAAATTGGATTACTAGTCAAATTTTTTTTGATAATTGTCGATAATTATAAAATAATTGTCGACCATTATAATCACATTGTACATTATTTGTCGTTGACAAACCTTGACAAACCTTCCTAGCGTAGAACATTTGAGCCGCCAAGTTCACCCTCATAGCACACTTGGCGGCTATTACTTTCATGTAAGCAACAATAGTTTTCGAGTGATACCTGTATGATACTATTGTTTGCCAAAAGGAAGCATCTAGGTTGCCACGCCCAAAATAGTGGCATAAATAAACCTGGATGCTCACTTCTGAATCGTCTCGCCAAATCTATATTCCACTAGATTATTTCCCGAATGAACAATTCCTTCAAGTAGTGGCATCCAATATTGGTTAACACCAAAATAATGCAAGCAGCAAATGTGGTGAACATAACTCAAACATTTTAAAATTTTACTCTGTTATTTCTCTGACATATTATATATATATGCTTAGAGAGAAAAGGTAGTAGTTAATTCTTTGAATTAATGGGAACAATTTCATGCATACAGTATCACCATGGCAGTTTCGAGAATCACAGCGCACATCAGGTAACTTCCCTTTGCTATTGAAACCTGAAAAACCGAATTAAACATAGAGCATGACTCCAATGAGACTAAAGATGGGCGGGCAAATCATTAAAGGGATTTCGAACTCTTTTGAACAATTTCTTGCAACTATTTTTTACAACGTTTACACACGCACAACACTGAACTTTTACGAATTTAGTTCTTATTCAGCTGTTGAGTCGCGGAAGTGTGTAAATAAAGACGAATAGCATAATGGTTGAAGGCGCATGAGGATAGGTGGAATAAATTCCAATATTTTTTGAGTGATTTAATCCGAGTTTTAACAAGAGTCAGAAGCACAACAAGACGAATCATCTTGAAATTTTGACATAAAAGGTCGTTTGCATCCCAAACATCAGGACAAAGCAGGCCTGAGCGCACTACATGCTCCCCTGCCTAGAAAACCGCTCCTAAACCCGTGCGCGCAAGCCATTCTTACATGCGCTGACGAGCTTGCAGTCTCCCTCCCACCGTCCGTCAGAGGCAGTATGCCGCAATGCTATAAACATGACGGTCTCGCAACGACTTTCCCGCAGCGACGTTGCTAACATGAGTGGTTTACTCGTCCAAAAACAAAATGAGGACCTTTGGAAAATGCTGATTTTTGACATTTTCGTGCTCTTCAAAGTGTATTTCTAAAGCAGCGTGACGAATCCCCAGGTAAGCCAAAAACTTCAGGTCGAAGATTTTTCGAGCCACTGCCTTTAAAAGCGCATAATCTGTTAAAGAAAAAACCTTTTGGCAAACAACAAAGAGCCTTTTGGGCAAACTCTATAATTCCAAAAGCTTTGTAGACGTCTGATTTGTTTTTGAACACAATGAAAACTTTAAAAGTCTCTAGTTTCTCCGCTTTACTAGCAAAAGTCTTTTTACTCTTTTCTAAACGATGCAGCTGCGAGAATTTGCGGTAGAGATCGTTGATCACCCACCAGTTTAGAGAGTGTGCGTGTGCTGATTTAAAACGACATTTTCAAGTAATTTTACAATACCGCTCGTTTGTGAAAAAAATTGGCGGGGCCACCGAAGTTGAGCGGCGGCCGCCGCAGTTAGGCGGCACCTAACTTCGGGGGCCGCCGCACTACTTTAGAAATCGTCGAAAGACCTTATCTTGACTCAAAATTTATGAATTCTATATTTAAGAGTATCATTCAGCTCAGCTCGGCGAGGCGCATCTTCCAGCATATGGAGGTGCCTAGCCGTGGGAAATAGCTTTTTTCTTGGAATTTTGGTGTAAATGGATTATTCAGTGTGCTGATTCCGAAGGCCACATTCTACTACGCACCGCAGAAATACGGTGGGTATAGTTTAGAGGCTCATTCTGCACGGATATGTGTGAAATTAGATTCTTCTCGGCAAAGTATGACGGGTCCCAAAGTGCAGGGAGACAAAGGGGAATGGCTGGAAATCGCATACGAAGCACATATCGTGCAGTATAACACGTGCTGTGCAATGTACAACACCACCCATAGAACGGGAATTTGGCGAGATTCCGGAAATATCGAGAATTTCCCGGAATATCGCAAATTACGCAGCGCCATAACTTCCTTCGGAATGAATTTATTCTCAAGCATTGTGCTCAGCCCATCAAGGCGAATCTCTTTGATATTTCGACTCAAGTATTCTTGAAACTTTCTGCGGACGTCTCTTCGCAAAAGTGTAAAGCAGCTTCTTCAGCAGCTCCTCAGTAAATTCCAGAAAGAATTTTTTGACAGTACTTCTTATGTAGATTATGGGACGCTAAGAAATAGCCGTACACTTTTTTCCAAAGGAAATAGAAGGGCGGGTGGATTTCGGAAAAATCATGTCTTTCTAAATTTTTCTCACCATAACTCCATGAAGCTCTCTTGCTAAGCAGTTGTGATTTTCGTAATCAGCGGGTCGGTTAACATTTATGAGCAAGTTTTTCGAGATGTTTCGGGTTATTTCATTTTTTGTCGTTCTACGCTGTGATTGTCGTTCTACGGTGAAGCTCGCCGGTGGATTTTGGTCAAAATGTCGATGATATCGAATTGCAAGGAAACTTCGCTTACAGGGGTTTTCGGACACGCTTTTTACGAAAATCGAGGTTTTCGAGGAATATAGGGTCTTTTTGCAGAAGTAGGTGAGGTGACTGTAACTGCACTACGAAAGTGCGTAACTTTGCCCGCACTTCTCGCGTATCTGTCAGAAAACTTGCCTTCTTTTTTTATAGATCAAAGTTACTAGGGACTGTGTTATCGAAGGTGCATGACTCAGGCTCCAGTCTATGAAAATCGCCGAGTTACGAGCCTACGAAAAAACATCCTCATGAACTTTGCACAAAATGTAAAGATCGCGTACTTCGTGCAAATTCCATCTTGAGTGGTTGTATGACATTCTGGTTGCAAATTTTATGTTCACTTCGCCTAAGGAATCCCACTATATTGAATATGGTGGGTGGGTGTGCTTCAGCTGCTTAATTGAACATCGAAGCAGTTTCGCAGCTAGAGCTCAGATCTGTCTAACTAACAAAGCCAACACGGAAAGATTCATTACGCGAACGTAGCTGATTTAACCAGCGTGTCAAACATCACTAAAGGTGGAATTTCAACGAAGTACGCGATCTTTACATTTTGTGCAAAGTTTATGAGGATGTTTTTTCGTAGGCTCGTAACTCGGCGATTTTCATAGACTGGAGCCTGAGTCATGGACCTTCGATAACACAGTTCCTAGTAGCTTTGACCTATAAAAAAAAAGAAGGCAAGTTTTTTGACAGATACGCGAGAAGTGCGGGCAAAGTTACGCACTTTCGTAGTGCAGTTACAGTCACCTCACCTATTTCTGCAAAAAGACCCTATATTTCTCGAAAACCTCGATTTTCGTAAAAAGCGTGTCCGAAAACCCCTGTAAGCGAAGTTTCCTTGCAATTCGATATCATCGACATTTTGACCAAAATCCACCGGCGAGCTTCACCGTAGAACGACAATCACAGCGTAGAACGACAAAAAATGAAATAACCCGAAACATCTCGAAAAACTTGCTCATAAAGGTTAACCGACCCGCTGATTACGAAAATCACATCTGCTTAGCAAGAGAGCTTCATAGAATTATGGTGAGAAAAACTTAGAAAGACATGATTTTTCCGAAATCCATCCGCCCTTCTATTTCCTTTGGAAAAAAGTGTACGGCTATTTCTTAGCGTCCCATAATCTACATAAGAAGTACTGTCAAAAAATTCTTTCTGGAATCTACTGGGGCATAGAAGTTGCTTTGCACCTTTGCGAAGAGACGTCCGCAGAAAGTTCAAGAATACTGAAGTCGAAATATCAAGGACCTGTATATCAAAAAATTCGCCTTGATGAGCTGAGCACAATGCTTCTTTCAAATTCAGAAAATATTCATCACAAAAAAACGTTACGGTGAGAAAAATTTGGAAACGCGTGATTTTTCTAGAATTCCCAACGCTTCTGTCTCTTTTGGAAAGAAGTCTGCGGCTACTTGCTAGCGCACTATAGTAGTCTACAAGAACAGCACTATTGAATGGTGCTTGCCGGTGTTTTATATTGGATAGGTGCTGCATTACATCCTTGAAGGACCTCCGCAGAAAAATTTGTGAAAACTGGAAACGAGATGTAGAGGACATGATGTACGCTGCAAGATTTGTCTTGACGAGCTGAACACATTGCTGCTTTTGGATTGAGAATAAATTCATTCCGAAGGAAGTTATGGCGCTGCGTATTGCAATATTTATTTATTTTTTTGTGCATTCATAGATGCTCCTGACGAACGTGGTTAGTGCAAAAAAAGCGAAAACAGAGCAAAAAATAGCCAATCATAGATGGTGTCTCCAGCAGCCATAGTGGATCCTACTTTAGAAGACAACAAGCTTAGCCCACTGGTTCAACAGCATAAATCATGGTGAAGCCATAAGCGAATCACTTTCAAGCGAATCTAAAGATGAAGCACCCGAATGGGCGAATCCATGCGTGCTTGGCGGAGGATCTCTTTCAGCTCCCTCTTACATCGCTACCATGAGAAACAAATAAAAGTTGAATAAAATGGGTGGCTTGGATGAATACTGTGTATGATTCAAAGTAGCTTCTAAGCAATAGTGACTACCGCAGACGAAACTAGGATAAGTGTTAGTACAACAATTATAACGTTTAAAGATTCAATGCTCATAAAGCTCTAAAAGTCAGCACTTGAAGAGAAATTCTTCATTCTCAGATTGACTCAGTAGAAAAGATAAGTCAATCGCTTGATTTTACGCTTAAATACGTTTGTAGATGAGGTTTGCAGTACAGTTTCTGGTAATTGTCTAAGCCATCGAGGGATCTGTAGAACAAACTATTGAAAACCCAACGAAAACGCTTCCTGTAAATAAGTAAATAATGAATGTTAAACCTACCATATCTGTTTGTAGGTCTAAAAATCCAGTATTTACTTGGGACAAGTCTTCTTCATGCAAAAGTCGAAAACCGAAAACGAGATCAAAAAATATTCGTCTATGTTCTAAACTTTTGATTGCCAAAAACTTGAGGCGATTTTCGTAGCTCGGCATATCGACAACATTGAGTTTTCTACGACACCTCAGGTGCAGAATACGAGTCACTTTTTCCACTTTAAAGTATTTTTTTGAAAAGTGATTCCATGTTACAGCACAATATTCCAAATGAGGTAACACGTATGTTCGGTAGAGACATCATCGGATTGTCGGTATGTACGCTACGAAAAATCGCAAATAAAGTCGAACAAGCTTTATTAACTACATTATTAATATGAGCAGAAAAATTCAAATCGGAATTATTCAAAACGCCCAAATCTTCGGCGGTAGAACAGTTTCTCAGTTTGTTTCCATTTATCTCATAGATTGGATTTTCAAGGTCTCCAAAATGCATGACAAAACTTTTTTCAAAGTTGATAGGAATGCCTAAACAAGCCGCCCAATGCATCATTTTCTCAAGGGATACTTTCATTGCGCCTCTGACCTCAGCTTTATTTTCCGCATTATAAAACCCATAAATTTTTATGTCATCCGCATACATTTG